GATAGATAGATAGATAGATAGATAGATAGATAGATAGATAGATAGATAGATAGATAGATAGATAGATAGATAGATAGATAGATAGATAGAAACTCAGTTTTATTTTCCACAAGTGCTTCACCTGGGAGAGCAAAAGGATGGATCAGTGGTTTTAGTCTTCAAACTTCTTGAGTTGAAGAAATTGAACAATTTTCATGCAAAGTATACAATGGCATCTATAATCAAACCATTTCTCATTTGTTGAATACAGATTAAAACTGACATAAAACCAATGCTTTACTTGTCAATGCCTCAGTGTTTGAATAATGTTGGCAGAAACTCTTGTGTGCAGGGCTTTGACTTGTGAAAACAGACTTCTGGTATTTCTACATGGATATGAGTAAAAATTTTCAGGAGGTTATAGATATAGTGAAGATGTGATGTCATTTTAAATTGTTGTCCAGGACTTTTTTCTTTGCAAAAGCAAATGCTCTTTTCACCGTCCCATAAAATATTTTTACTCAATACTTAATTCTCAATATACCTAATATTTTAGTAGCAAGCATAGACTGAGGAAATAGTTAAAAAAAATAAAAAATAAAATAAAAATACAGAGCCCCACAGTGCCTCAGTCTGGTGAAAAACTGTTACTTCAAGATGATTTCATCTCAACAGTCTTTAGGTCTCTCCAGTTCATGACAGCCTTCGAAGTGACATTAAAACACAAGCGCCGAACAGAAAACCACTTTAAAGATGTGAAATATGTGAAAGTGTAAAATAATTAAACTTGAGAAATAAACAAACAAATAAACAAAGTCTGCTTCTTCAATCTCAAATCAATAATTTCTGGTGACCAAGTCCAGTTTATGTCCTGAATCAAAAAAAAAAGGTCAATCAACATCAAAGGACATACTAAAGACAGTCCACTTTCATAACAACAACAACAACAACAAAATAATAATAATAATAATAATAATAATAATAATAATAATAATAATAATAATAGTAAATCATTATTACTGTAACACAAACTGTATTTGCTTCATTTGTCACATTTGTTAGAGTTAACAATTTAGGACCTTTAAAATGTAATCTTTTATATTTTCCAAACACAAACAAAAAACTTAAATATTCAGTTAACCTTCGTTGGAATTACTGACCTGTGGTTAAAAGGTACTTTACCTGCAGGACTTGGGATAACAGTGTCTTCATGATGTCTTCATATCTTCTGCTATATTTTCAGGTTGCAGTTGTGCAGAAGGTGAGGCAACAACACAAGCATCAGTGAAGRTTTTAGTGCCTGGCCTAAAACTTGAACTTAAGTCATCTTCTTGTGAAGCTAATGACTGAATGATAATCCTCTGCTCAGCACAAAACAAAACAAAACAAAATCGTAAGACGATTTTTCATCAGCGATGCACTTTTTAAAAACATATTCAAGAATGTTGTTTTTCTCTCATCTCCGTCCTTCTGCAGGAGTTACATCAAGCAAACTCACTGAAGATTTTGGCTGCTGTTTTACACCAGAGGCCCTTTCTAACATAACCTGGACTTGGACTCAAGGTTACAAAACAGCATCACTGAACACCAACATCCTGCAGCCCCTAAAAACCCATTCAAAAATAGCTGCAGTTATTTCACTAATGTGTACTTTGCACAAAATCCAAAAATGAACCACCAGGTCAGGTTCCTCACACTTGAAGAATGATACCTTTTGAAAATAAAGCAAAGTCAGGAGCTCACTGATAACTCAGTCTTCTTTTCATATTGAAAAAAAGTTACTTTGAATGATGACTTACCAGCATGGACCAACTTGCCAGGAAAACTAAAATTTGCAGTGAATTAAAAAAAACCCTCTTAAAATATTTAAAATAAATCAAAAACAGTACGTCTCAAAATGATGATTGTTGCCACAAGTTTCCTACTGAAGAAAACAGTTGTCTAAACTAACAAAGACAACAAATACCATCCGACTGTAGAAAACCTGTTTATTAGACAAATTATACACAGAAAGCTTTGCCACTTGTAACAGAGGCCCAAGTTTGTTCGGTTTTTGAATATAATGCAACACATACAACAAAATAGGCCTATATTAAATACTGTACATCATAAACTTTTGAAAATTATCAAGTAAATCCTGTAGTTCTATGTAAGAAATAAAAAATAAAATGTTAACAAATAGCTAGACAGCAAGTTTGTGCATGCTTTCTTTTTAGTGAACTTGCCAGGTTTTGTTATTCAGACAGCAAATAATAATAATAATAATAATAATAATCAAAATAACAAACTCAAATGTCTTGAGAAAAGCAAAACATTAGTGTAAAATGTGTTTACCATGGGCAGGATAGGGGAGAACCAAAGGCAGTATGGTAACTGCTCAATCCAACACTAAAGCTCAACATGATATAATATTTTCTTTCTGTTAAACAAAAATAGCGTCAACATGTAAAATATACATTTTCATAATGTCTCTTTATTTATACTAAATAATTTTTAATGCATGTGTCCTATTTGCCATTCAATAGCCTGTCTGTAACCTAATAAAAGAAACAAAAAAGTCCTAAGAATGCTTGCTTCAAAACACTGTGGCTTGACTGAATTTTCTACACACAGAACAATTTGCAGTTTTAGCTCAAAAATAGCAAACTGAAAAACTTGCTCTAAACAATTAACATTATCAATTATTAATACAGTGTTAGTGGAAAAGAAAAGTTTGATTCTACTTTACCAACCCTGTCAGGAATCTGTAAAATATTCCTTTAATATACCACTTCCGTTCCCCCCGCCATAAAATGCACCTTAGTGGTCTCATTTTATTTTTACTGGCACTTAAAAAAAGTTACATCAATAGTACCTTTAACATGAGAAACATTGATCAGACGTGTGTTTTGGACTCGTTAGGTTCTGATCGCCATTGACTCCTCAGGACATTCCTTTCATTTCCAACACAGCTGATGAATCGCAGCTCCCGCTTCCAGAACACAGCAGTGTTTAGAACGTGGGAGGGCAAAGCTAGCTATAGCTGACATATGAGGCGTGAACCGACAACGTTGTTTGCAATGGCTTTTCCTCAGCTCAAAATCTTCATTTCACCACTTGAACCCAGTAAGAAGAGATCCGTCCACTTGAATCTGACATGACATTGCTAAGTGAGCTTTTTCATTATAAACACCATTGCTATGGGGGCACTAAATGTAAGCAAAACAGAAAAAAAGAAAAAAAAATCAAAGTATGAGTTTGAATGATTTGAAGATGCAAAACCAGAAACTACAGCACTTGTTTTAGCAGTTTTTCAAAGTTTTCTGAAAACAAAAATAAACACACAAAAAAGAAGAAAAAAAGAAGACACTTCAGAACAATGTAATTTTTTTGTACTTCCTGACCAAAACACATTCCACGCATTTTTTTTCAAAACGAAACTCAATAAAAGACATAGAATCATAAGCTTTGTGAAGTCTTTCAGTTTGTCTTTTATACTTTGTAATTCTTTTATCTGCTTTTTTTATTGTCCATGTTTTACTGCAACTCTGAGAGTCTGACTCGAGGCTCTCACCTTGACTTGAAAAGCAGATAGCACAATACGGGTGAGAAAACAAAAAGGTAAGGTCTACATACAATCACTTACAGGTCTGTGGGCACTGGTACAGTGCAGAGAGGGCTTGACAAAGAGTTTAATGTGCATCAAAATGGTGAAAACAGTTTCAGGCTGATGCACCAAAATGGCAGAAGTAGTTTAAGATCGACACACCAAACTGGTGATTTTACAGTGGCAAACTCTCGCAGTGTCATGGCATTTCAACTGTGTTTTTTTTCTTTGTCACCGCGTGGAGTTGTCATCTTGTGTCTGGTCAGGCCACTGTGTGGGCACCATCTGGAAGATGATTACACGTTTCACCCCAAGTATTGGTAAAACAACACCAGAGAAGAAAAAGGGACTCCCAATTAGTGAAAAAGGCAAAATTACAACGATGAAGGATTATCTTCAATGTTTATGGCCTTCTCCAAACCCTACAAGGGTGCAGGGCTACAGACAGCCAATATGTTGGACAGCCGAGACTATTCTTTCATGAGATTACTGCTTCATAATTGCTTGTAGATAAAGTCCCTGGAAGTTGTTTCATGGCTAAAGAAACAACTAATCCCTCACCAATGACAAATCTGGAGCTAAAATGAATATTTTCTGGTACTGGACTGATAAAAAAAATCACCTGTCAAGAGGCTGCTCCAATAGTAAGAGGGAGTCAGGACTTTTGAGCAATTTTCCATTAAATGAGATAGTCCTCATGTCATAAAACAAAAACAAAACAAAAAACAATTATAAAAAAGGGGCTTCCTTCAGATATATCTCTTAAAATAATCCCCCCAAACAACCACAACGACAACAACGATAAAGTAGAGATAACCCCCACCCCTTCCGATCTCTTTAACCTTCTTGCGTCTCACCAGCGAGGTTTGAAGGAGGATAAAAAAATTGCCCCAGTAGACCTCCAACTCCTTGGTTTTTGTCACATACAAAATAAACACCCGTGGACACCCAGGAAGAAACTGAATAAAACAAAACAAACAAAAACAAAACAAAACTGAATAATTGCTGTTTACACAGATCTCTATTTTTTTAGCCTAGCCACAATGCTTTTGTTCAATCATCATATGACTTACTCTATTCTCCCCTTTCTCCTCCTCCTTCTAACTCCTGCTTCCTGAACCAACCATAGCAACTCCTCATATGGAGGTGCCCCTGTCTGGATCATTGCCATATCCAAAGTTGGGTCCAGGACCTGTGGGCTGGTATGGGATAGAGGACATAGTTTTAATGGGGCTGCGGAAAAAGCCACCATTGGGGGCCCTCTGTCTGAAGGGGCCTACCCCACCAGTTCGGTGGTCCTGGAGACCGCTGCCTCCACCGAAACCGGAAGAAAATCCAGCAGCGGCTTTGGCTGACAGGCTGCGGCTTAGGGTCTGGATCTGCTCAGGGATAAAGGTGGTGGTGGTGATGTGGGTGTTGCGGAAATCACTGATCTGCTCGAGTGCCTGGCGGGCAGCAGGCAGTGCATCCATGTCAAGGGGGGTTAAATCGACGGAAGAGGTGGAGAACTGCTTGTGGGGGCTTTCATCCTCTGTGCACAAGCTGTTAACCCGGCGGTGTAGGTGCTCCAGGTCGATCTCCTTATCGTCCTGCAAGTAGGGAGGGACAGAGGAGGAGGAGAAGAACCAAAAAAAAGTGGAAGTGGTGATGATAAATGGAAGAAAGGAAAGGCATAAATGGTAGGGAAAGAAARATTGAAATGATAATTGGTGGGGAAAAAATTGTTGGTGGAAGGAAGAGGTACAAAATAAATTTGTGGGCAGAATTTAAGGATTAAAGGATCAGTCAAAAAATACAAAGATGAGAACAATGGGACCGACAGATGTTGGAAAATGTTGTGAAGGAGAATAAAAGGTGCAAAGTGTGAGGGTAGTGCATACGAGTAAGAAAAAGAGGAGTATAATGAAAGGAACAACAAAGAATAGGATGCATTTGTTTTCAGAAAGAAGGATTTTATCCATTCATCCGTCCATCCAGTATAAAGGATAAAAAAGTGAAAACAATTGAAAAGTGGTCGACAAGGCATATGATGAAAAGCAGATAACGGCAGGACAATGTGCAAACATGCCCAAACGAAGTTTAAGGCACAATGAACGAATTCAAGTGTGTGTTTTATGTGAAAACGCCAGTGACACAAAAATAGGAGAATCGAGTCAATGTTTGTGGGTCATGCAGGTAAAGCGTGGGAATGACAGGAAGTGGGGAGAGCAAAAAAGAAAAGAGGAGGGGATAGGATGGAGAGAGGAATAGAGAAGCACACTCTGAGCTGTGGTCAGGAAAAGAAACATACACACACTTCTACAAGGTCTTTAAGGGAGTGCAGATAATCAGGAATTGACAGAGAAAACACACTTCTATCATGCTGTGTTCTCTGCAGTTCCATGGTTTTAGGTTTATTACAGAGAAATAGCTTTGAACTTTAAACTTATAAGAAAACAAATATCTAAATGTTCATCAATATATTACTCAAATCATATTATTTTTACTGATTCTTATTACTATATTGCATTATGGCCTTTGTCCCAAATGCATTCACTTTTTTTTTCAAAGTGAATTTTTTTTCCAGGCCATAATGCAGTTGTCTCTTTCTTATCAAATGCAYTATACAATGCAGAAATTTGAATGTTGTTCATCAGATCTACTATTCTTAACACTTTAAAGCACAAACAAGATAACTGAAGCTTTAACTAAACTTACAGTATAAGATAAATGAAACTTACAGAACAACTACAAATACACTGTAAACCTATATTCACATATACAATAACTTATCCACTGAAAATATTGCAACACTGAGTGAAAGGTGTTTCATGCTTTTACTGTGTCAGGGAGGGTGGGCATGAGTACACGAAGAATTCAGTTTGCAATGAATGAAGGAAGCAGAAAGCTCAGGTGAACACTGGGAACGATGGAAAGTTCTGGAGGAGTATTACATTTTCACATTCTGCACACAACGGGTGACAATGTGCGTCTGGGACTGAGGGGGATGCTTTGTCTTAAAGGTTTCAGAAGGAGGTGGACAAAGTCAGGTGTTAAATAAGGTTTGGTGGTGGTGCTCTCTGGGTAAAAAGTCAGAAGGAGTTTTGTGATGAGAGGAATCACATTATCTGGGGTAAAAGGCAGATTTACTGACCGTGTCCTTTGGGTCTGGGGGTTCTGGAGGGCTCTCTGGCCCTACTGTTTGCATCTCACGAGCAGAAGGGACCAGCAGTGGTGCCCCCCCTCCGGTTACCATCTAAAAGAGGGGCAGTGGAAGAAAGGGGAAGGGCTGCAGGGGGCACCGATGTTTGCCCCAGAACTAGGCACGTTGAAAGTTTGGAGTAAAAAAAAATAGTATATCAAAAAGGGGGTAGACTAGTACAAATGAAGGGAGGTGAAAGAAAGGAGTGATTCACAAATGACTGTTGTGCTGTTTGTGAAAAGAGGCGAGGGTGAGCAAGGATTGAAGTAATTGAAATGGAAGATTAAAGTGTCAAAACCTGACTGCACTCAAAGTGTGCAACTCTGAACGGGGTGCTTCTTTCCTCCACTAAGATACTCATCACATAATCAGCGAAAAAAAATGTTCATGAATCTAAAAACACTGTGCAATCCATCACACATGGTTTACTGCTTGATGCAAATGCAGTTGAGGAGATTTAAAGCCAAGTTTGGACCACTAAATGGTTGTTGGCTTGTAGGTATTTTTTTTATTAAAATCTCATTGTAACATAAAATACATGTCACTAAAGGGCTTTGCATTTAACATTGCACACTTTTCAAGCTACACGTGCCTTCAGCTGCCTGGTGAAGGATGGTGCTCTGTATTTCTCTACATGGAAAGACAGCACCCCCTGAAGGCAGTGAGGCATTATTGCAGACATCTTTAACTGGCAACATGCCAGGTAAAATAACCATTAAAAAAAAGAAAGAGGTACTTTAGTTTCCAGGTTTGCTACAACATGGACATCGAAGTTTAACTACTCCCTGATGTCCATGATTTCCCTGGATTATTCAGTTTTTATTTTTACACTCTTCTTCAAACTTTACTAACCAATGATATTTTTTTAAAATCTTCTATTGTATGTATAACCTTGGTGTAGGAGGTGATGTGGTGAAGGTGGTCATTCTCATTTTGGGGGTGATCTCAGAGGTGTTGCTGGGTTCGTAGGAGTGCTGCACAATCAGGGCGCAGGGGATGTCGCAGCAAGCTGGGGGCTGGTAACGGGTGGTGGTGGAGCCAGTGGTGTTGGCAGCGTTGGGGGTCTGGTTCTGGCCGCCCAGGCTAAGCGGGTGCTCATTGGCGGCGTGGGGACACTGATCGGCAGTTTGAATGGCGGACGGGCCGTCGGCCTGCGTCTGGTGTGTGTGTGTGTGTGAGCACACGAGGGTTGAAAGGAGGGAAACGGGAAAATAAATGCGACGTGGAGAGAAGTGTGAAGGGATTTATGCATATACGTTTGTGTGTGCGCGAAATGAGCGAGATTAAAACGAGCCAAAAATCAAACAAAAGCAAACCGCAAAAGGCAGACAAAAAGCAGACATGCAGAGACGGAGAGAGGATGAAAAGACAGACGAGATCAGGCAGATTGAAATATGGCGGGGTGGATGAGAGAGAAGTAAATCYGAGAGACAGATGGGTGGGGAGGGGTGAGCGAGAAGAAAGACATGGCAGTCAGTCAGCGCACACTTTTAAGCAGGTCACTCTGTGTTGTGTCCCCAGAGAGACATTCACACAGTTGTTGTATACCTGGAAAAGGGGAGATGTTTAAATGCCATTTTGTATTGCTCTCTCCCCCTCGCCCGCTACACCCCTCAACACAGAGTACTTATCTACAAGAACAAAACAAGAAGGCAGTATGAGAGCTTCGAGCCACAGTGACACAGATCATTGTGTAGAGTTAGAATGAGGAGAACTGACACTTTACATCTGAAAAGATTATTTACAAAATAAAAAAAATAATAAAAAAAATACACAAGAAGTGCCAGCTCTCCTTATAATAAATCTCCACAGACTTTATGAAATATCAGACACGGTCTAAACCACACAAGTTACCATTATGGAAGAGTTCTGACAATAATAACGATACATAAACTTATATTTTCACTCAGTTTTTAGCTTTTGAATAATTATTTTTTGTTTACTGACAGAACTCTTTCATACCAACCTCAGGTTGAACATTTACAGGCCAAAAGGGGTGAAACAAAACAGCCACCCTAACATGAATGAAATGGTAATTAGACATTCTTCTGGAGATGGATCATTTAAACAGTTACACTTATGCCTTTCAGTTATATAAAGCTACATTTACACAAACCACCACCCATCACTCAATCAAAATCAGTTCAGATGCTTCTGAATTTCATAAAATGAGTGATTTTTTAAAAAAAGGGGGATTATAAGAAAAATAAATTCAGAACACTTCAGTCAAATTTCATTTGTTGCAAGTAAAAGACTATCAGTGATCCTGAAACAGCAGGAGTAATTTAAGGGACATGTGTACAGTTTTTTTCCTTTTTCTATTGTGCATTATTCTTATCTTAAACGCTAAAGAATAACACACTTCTTATCATGGGAGTTCACATTAGTTAACTCACTGGAAAGTGTGCAGTTTGTATCTGTGCATTCGCCTGATAGAAATGCTCATAAGAAAAAAACAAAAAAACAAAAGCGTTTACATCAAGAAGCAAGAAGCGGACTCATAGATAAACAAAGCCAGCCATTCCACAACACCGAACCACAGCACAGACGTTGACACACAGCTCGAAGGCAGAGGCAGTTAAAGCGCTGCGGTTCACAAATGAATGTAAAAGCATGTAGAGACAAATACAGAATGTGATTTTGTATGTTTTAGTACAGATATAAAATACACACAAAGACTCAAACACAGCTTGGGGTATATTAAGGGTGACACAGTGGATTGTGGGTTGTATGCAGAGAGCGTGTATGGATGCATGGGGCGGGGTGGGTGAGGGGGCGACACAGCTTTGTCCTTCAGTTCTATGGATGAATGTAGCCATGATTTGGGGGCAACGGGTCCTGATTAAAAGTCAATTACATCCATACTGCATTGTGCATTTGAGAGTAACCGAACCTTGATCTCGACAATGGCTGCTGAGGGAAGCAATGAACATGGATGAAAATACTGTAAGCTGTGTAACTTTGAAAGCAAACAAAAAAGAAGATTGCAATAAAAATAAGCTTTATGACATGACATATTGCATTTTAGGTAAAAAAAAAAAACCTTGGCATGGTGAAGAATGTGGGCAAAGTATAAAGTGATAATAATGCATGCAGGTGCAAGGGCGAACTCGTAAATGTGTGTGACTGTGGGAGTGGCTGGATTGGGGAATCTGTCAAATTCAAGGAGGAAAGGAAGATGTCTCTGATCGTCTAAGTGGAAATCATTAGCACTTTTATTGCACATCTGTGTAAACGCTCCGCACAGTTTGCGTGAGAAACATCTGCCATCAGATAATCTCAACTCATTGTACATCGTGCTTGCTTTACATTAAAATTGATTTAAGTAAGTCTGAGAAAAGTTATTTTGCTCTCATTTTTAACCAGGTCATATGCTGCATGTTACACAGTTAAAAGTAACTTGCTGTG